CTGTGGAACGCCCTCCCACCAGATGTCAAAGAGAACAACAACTAACAGACTTTTAGAAGACATCTGAAGGCAGCCCTGTTTAGGAAAGCTTTTAATGTTTGATGTATTGCAGTATTTTAATATTTTTTTGGAAGCCGCCCAGAGTGGCTGGGGAAGCCCAGCCAGATGGGTGAGGTATAAATAAATTATTATTATTATTATTATTGTTATTATTATTATTATTTTAACAAGCTGAAAATCATCAATCACAACAGTTCCCTGGTGATGCCCCCCACCCTTCTGATATTCCTCCTTTGTGTGACAACTGTCAATGTAACCCTCCTCTGTTTCCTGTTGCCAGGAGTGGACTTTGGTCTTTCAAATTTCATCAGTGCTCAATTCACAATGTTCAAGTGCCCCATGGCGCCCCCTAGACTCAATGCCCAGTGTTGCAGGAGCAGTTGTGCTGCCCTAATTCTGCCTCTGCAGTTGCTGATCCTGATCATTCAGCATTCTCTTTTCACAGAATCATAGAGTTGGAAGGGACCCTGAGGATCATCTAGTCCAACCCCCTGCAATGCAGGAATATGCAGCTGTCACTTTCTGGGATCAGACCTGCAACCTTGGCATTATGAGCACCACGTTGTAACCAAATGAACTATCCTCTCATTCGGGTCCTCAGGTGGGTTCTTGTACTCCAGGGCAACAAGACAAACACTAAGCTGACTGCTGCATTTATTTTGGAGTCTTTAGTTGATGCATGGATTGAGTTAACAGGAATACATTATATCTATCATCCATCCATCCATCTATCTCTCTATCTATCTATCATCACCTCCCTGGATTTTTATTTTTTGTACTTCTGCAGACCTTGGGGTTCCCAAAAGCCTCCTGATTGCTCCCTGTTGCTTGTGCATTGATCCTGGTTAAATAATGATTGACACTCACCTCTGAACACCAGAATTAGCAAGAGTACTGATGAGCAAGTAATGGAATGAAGACCACATCATCCTTGGAGCCACAGAACAGAAAGAGACACAACATTATACCCCTCTGGTCTAGTTTGATGTGTTCTGTGATTGATGCACATTAAAGCCCTCTGTTTCACCTGTTGTTGGGGGCTGTGAGGGGTTCAAATGAAGAACTTTTGGGTCTGTGTGCAGCTGCCTTGTGTGGTGAGGCACAGAACTGCATGTGGCAGCAACGGCCTGGGCAATTTAGCATCCTTGGTCTCTGCAGTAGTGTAGCGTGGGTTGCCAGTGCCCAGGGCCATGTGGATGGGTGGGTGGGAAACAGGCAGAGTATGTATGCACATTCATCTGCCTAACGTTTCACCCAGACCGCAGCTGCAGAGATAAGAAGAGTTGCTCCATTGTCTGGATGGAGAGGTCACTTCCTTGTTTGCACGGAGAAGCCATTTTCAATGGAGCCCAGTGACAGATACACGCAGTATTGAGGAATTGCTGGTTGTTGAAATTTTGCTCCTCTAACAATTTTGCACCTGGGGAAACCACCCGTCTCCCACCACCACCACACTATGCCACTGGGTCTCTGCACTCACTCCATTCATTGACTCCTTCTGGACAAGAACAACCATAAGGGGTTCCTGCTCCAGATAAACCTTGCTTGAGCCTATCTGCTTCATACAGTTGCCCTTTGGTTTTGGCGTTCTGGTTTGCCCCTCTACCCTGCCTCTTGACTTGCCCCTTGTTCCTGTTAGTTTGTGTGTGTGTGTGTGTGTGTGTGTGTGTGTGTAAATAGCACAGTGAAGTGCATAAATAAATAATCTGGTAAGGCTGCTAGTTGGAAGGATAAATAAATGTTAAGGTTCATCAAGCCTGGCAAACAAAACCAATCTGAGCACAAGCTTACATGTAGCCATTATGGAGTCATGAGGATGTGAAAAGGAAGATCCAACACTGAAGAAGAAGCAGCAGGAAGGAAGTAAAGCCTGAAGGAACAAATGGTTACTCAAGAAGGAATCAGTGAGGGAAGAATAGGATGCGTTTCTGTCTATTATGCCCAAATGGTTCAGGTAACTTATTGCAACTGTTGTTGCTTTAATTCCAGCATTCGATGCCTCCTGGCTGGCTCTATGGTCCTTATCCATAGCTCCTGTCTCACTGCAGACCACTCCCCACAACTCAGTGCTAACTCCCTGGAACTCTGTGTGCATTGAGCTGATGGTAAGAAAATAATTCTCTTAAATACCCCCAAAACAATCGCTGAATCTCAGTTATAGGAAACATATCTTGGCTGTGGATAATAACACCAGGGCTAATGACAACTAAGAATATAACATTATGGTTGCCAACTGGCAGTGGGTGGGGGAGGCTTGGCCAGCTCCTGCAGCGTGAAATGCAGTAATTAGGAGGCAAAGCTTTTCACAGCATTAATGGGAGAAATGTGCCTATTTGGCACCCTCAAAACTCTGCAGGGGTGGAGGCCAATTAGAATGGCTCACCCCCAGAGTCTGATAGATCCAACTGTTTCTTAGTTAGCTCAGGGATGTGTGTGTTCCTGCTGACATGGCTTGTAGTTCTGTCAATGCCTTGGTCACCCTCTGGAGCTGGGAGCTTACTGGAACATCTGACCCTATTCTGCTTCATAAAGCCTATTCAGCTCTAAGACAGCAGCCAGAGTGACAGTGGAGGGAAAACTGAGGCCGCATGTGATTGAATGACAGCTAAGCAACCATTTCAGTTGTGTGCATTTACTGTTTAGGCTTTGTTGTTGTTTAGTCGTTTAGTCCTGTCCAACTCTTTGTGACCCCATGGACCAGAGCACGCCAGGCACTCCTGTCTTCCACTGCCTCCCGCAGTTTGGTCAAACTCATGTTCGTAGCTTCGAGAACACCGTCCAACCATCTCGTCCTCTGTCGTCCCCTTCTCCATGTGCCCTCTGTCTTTCCCAACATCAGGGTCTTTTCCAGGGAGTCTTCTCTTCTCATGAGGTGGCCAAAGTATTGGAGTCTCAGCTTCACGATCTGTCCTTCCAGTGAGCACTCAGGGCTGATTTCCTTAAGAATGGAGAGGTTTGATCTTCTTGCAGTCCATGGGACTCTCAAAAGTCTCCTCCAGCACCATAATTCAAAAGCATCAATTCTTCGGCGATCAGCCTTCTTTATGGTCCAGCTCTTACTTCCATACATCACTACTGGGAAAACCATAGCTTTTACTATACGGACCTTTGTTGGCAAGGTGATGTCTCTGCTTTTAAAGATGCTGTCTAGGTTTGTAATTGCTTTTCTCCCAAGAAGCAGGTGTCTTTTAATTTCGTGGCTGCTGTCACCATCTGCAGTGATCATGGAGCCCAAGAAAGTAAACTCTCTCACTGCCTCCATTTCTTCCCCTTCTATTTGCCAGGAGGTGATGGGACCAGTGGCCATGATCTTCGTTTTTTGATGTTGAGCTTCAGACCATATTTTGCGCTCTCCTCTTTCACCCTCAATAAAAGGTTCTTTAATTCCTCCTCACTTTCTGCCATCAAGGTTGTGTCATCTGCATATCTGAAGTTGTTGATATTTCTTCCGGCGATCTTAATTCCGGCTAGGGATTCATCCAGCCCAGCTTTTCGCATGATGTATTCTGCATATAAGTTAAATAAGCAGGGATTGTTTAGGCTTAATTGCAGGCTTTTGGAGGAGAGCAGTGATGGGTCCTACCAGATGTTCCCTGGGATTGGGGATTGATAAACCACTGTGGGAATTGCAGCTCCATGAGGGGAATAGGGATCTCCTAATAATTCTCAGCACCGTTAACCAACTATAGCTCCCAGGATTCCTTGAGGGAACCCATAACTGCCTGAAGTGGTATCATAGTGGCTTTTATGTATAGTGAAGATGAGGTCTGGGGGGAGTGGGGGGAGGACAGAAAACCAGAAGGGAGGAAAAGTAGCATATCATGGATGAAATCATGGATGCCTGAACAAGAACACTCCATACACAGCAAGATTTTGTTTTAAGTTTCACTTGTATTCCTTTAAAACAATGTTGTTTAGTATTATGAAAAACACTAGAGTTAATTTAATAAAAGAGTTGCCTTTCACATAAGTTTCGAGGTGATTTACAAGCACACAGCAAAAGCAACAAAAATAGGTTTAAGAGAAATACAAACACAAAGGTGTGTATTAAAAGCAACACAAACACCCTAGAACCGTGGTTGTACTGCTCCCTGGGGAGGGGATTAAGGGGGGGGCACTGGAGATGTAAATGACTTTGAAAAGCTGGAATCACTGGATCAACTTCATCAATTTTGTTGAATTAATTAAATTAAATACTTTTAGTTGGATTTTGAATAAATGTGCAATTAATTGTTACTGGTTTGAATTTTATTGTGTTCTTATCTTCTGGAGAAGAAAACGATAGAGAGTAAACATTACAAAAATCTGTAGTGAAGTCCCTGCAGTTGGCTGGAACCTTGTATGCCTACTTCTAGAAACTCCTGGCAGCCAAACTGGTGCCAAACGCTTTCCCTTGGACCACACCAGTGGTTGTATGGGCAGCCCATGACCTCCATGCACACTGCCAAGGCCTGCATCCTGGGGATGGCACTTTTGGTGCTGCTAATGCAGCAAAAACAGCACAGGAGGCAGCAGTTATGAATTACTGGTCTCTGCAGCCACAGCAGGCGCTGGGACTCTCCAGCAGTTTGACTGCAGCCCCAGAAGTGCACTCCATTGTCTCTCGAGACAGATGGATGCCAACAATAACATTAGTTGTGCAAACAGCTGCTCTGAATCATGTTTTCTATAGAGCAGGGTAGGAGGCACTGCGGATGAACTTATGGAACTAAGGGGGTGGTGGCTTGAAAAAGTTTGGGAACCACTGCCCTAGGCAGAGACCTTATTTTATATTTATAAATAAATACATACATACATACATACATCAGTCAACTGGAATGGTTTGTTGAAACATAAAAATTCTTTTTTAAAAATCATTTTTATTGATTTTCCAATTGAAAACATCCAATTAAATATCCAATCAATTAAAAAATAAAAAACTAAAATAAAAAAGATCAAACCATAGTCCAAATTGTATTTATTAATTTCTTGGGGCTCCCCACGGTCTGGATCTCTGGAGCTTATCTCCACATCTTAGTCCTGCTTCTCCTTGTTGTTTCCTAAACATAAAAATTCTTCATTTGTTTTCAAAAACTACATATGCTGTTCTACAAAAACAGGGACTTCCTTAACATGGAGCTCTATAATATGGAAAAAGCTTACCTGAAAGGCAGATTACTCACCAGAACTGTCACCTCAGGAACAGAGGGGGCAAGCCAGAACCTTTCCCACAATTATCTGCAAGCAACGGGGTTCTGTAGCAATCACGCAGGGGGTGTCCAACAGGCAAGCTGGTGTGGTACAGGTTCCCTAAAAGGGTTAGAAAGTTTTGGAAAGTAATATTTTTTAAAAAATATTATGCCAGATTTATGCAGCATAATTTCTTTCCCCACCACCACCACTAGAGGCCACCCACTCTCTCTGTCTGGCCAAAATAATTTCAAGGCTTTCCACTGGAACTGTCAAAGAGTGCACCAACCAGGGTCAGGATTACAATTGAACCAACAAGAAGCCATGCCTTTCAGGCAGTTGGTTATAGAGGAGGGCACAGTGCCCAGTGTGAGGGGAGAATGTGTCATTTATTCATTAATTAAACCTTTTCCTCCCAGTTACACTGGCATGATACCCTGTTTCCCATCATACATGGATACACAGTCTCACTTTTTTAGGGGCTGAGGGAGGGGGGTAAACCTGCTTTTTGTTATTCCGAAGTCAAAATAAGATCCAATCTGGATAAGAACACAAGACTGTAAGAGCTGTTCAACAGTGGAACAACCTTCGACAAGAGGTGGTGGACTCTCCTTCTTTGGAGGTTTCAAGCAGAGGTTGGATGACCATCTGTCATGAATAATCTAGTTGAGATTCCTACATTGCAGGGGGTTGGACTAGATGACCCTCAGGGTCCCTTCCAACTCTACAGTTTTATGATTCTATAAGTCCCATATAGTTCAGCATCCTTTTCTCACACTAGCTAACCAGATGCCTCTATAGGAAGTGACCACATGCAGGATCTGAGCGCAAAGGTTTTCTCCCTACTTCCACCAACTGATATTTCTGCATTTCTGCCCCTCTGACTGTGGAGGCAGACCATAGCCATTATGACTAGTAGTAATTTGTGGAATCCTCTTTGAAAGCCATCCTGTCACTGTTTCCTGTGGGAGTGAGTTCCACAGTCTGACTATGCACTGTGTGATAGAAATATGCTTGCATGTGAAAGGGAGCTCATAACTGCCAATGTGTTCTTATTCTGAAGATTAAATACACAAGTGAATGCAAGGCTGAGGGAAATGTAAAGGCTTTGCATTGAGATAAATGAACTAAAACCAGCAAAGGAAGGCTACTACCCATCTCTTAATCTCTCCATACCAGGAGAAAAGTTTCACTGGAACAGAAATATTTAGAAGACCAGGAAACCTACCTCCAGTTTAGTCTCTAAATCAGGGCTAGGGCACCTATGGCCCTCCAGATGTTGCTGGATTACAATTACCATCATCCCTGACCACTTGCCAGGGTTTTTTTCTTCTTAAATGTTTATTTTTATTTATGTAACCAAAAACATATAATTCAATTAACATATTATGGTAAAGAAATAAAAGAAAAACAATATAGTTGAATGAAAATGAAAATTAAACTCACACAATCCCTGGGATAGCTCAGTCAGTAGGGCATGAGGCTTTTAATCTCAGGGTTGTGAGTTTGAGTCCCAAACTCTAGTTTGGGCTAAAGATCCCTGCATTGCAGGGGAGGTTGAACTAAACGATCATTGTGGTCCCTTACAACTCTATGACTTTGCTTTGCTGATATGGAGGGGGCAGTGAAAGATTGTTTTGTTCATAAATTGTTTATGTCCTCAAGATCTCGCAATATTTTCACCTGAAGCTGAAAAGTGACTAAGAATTCTAAGCAGCAGGAGTATTTCACATGAGGCATTTGAACTCTTGGCTATGTTGATGGGAGCTTGGAGTCCAACATCTGGAGAAGGCCATGGGTTCCCCAGTCCTGCTCAAAATGGCTACAGATTACTTTGCCTTTAGTTCTGATATGATGTTCAGACTCCTCTTAACCATTTACTACAGCTGGGGGGGGGGACAGAAACCTTGGCCTTCTAGATGTTATCAAATGATGGCTCCCATTAGCCCTAGCAAGCACAGCCAGGGATGGGCAATTGTAGTTCAGCAACACCTGGAGGGATAACAAAGCTTCACTACACCTGGTCCACAGGCAACCCAATTGCCCTTGCGTTTAGTTGGTTATGGTGAGAAGTCACCTTGAAATTTTATAACTGCTCCTTACTAGACACATAGACTGCAGTCCTATCCATGCTTACTTTATTAGCATTATTTGCATTTATTTATATCCCATTTTTCCTCCAAACAGTTCAAGGTGCCGTATGTGGTTCTCCCTGCTGCTCCCCCCCCCCCCCCATTTAAACCTCACTCAGCCAGGAAGCTCACTGGGTGACCTTGGACGTGTCACTGCCTCTCAGCCTAATCTACCTCACAGGGTTGTCATTAGGGTAAAATGGGGAGAGGGTGACTTATTTATGCCACCTTGAGCAACTTGGGAGTAAAATAAAACCTATTATTGACAATCCTATATATGCACTTCCCTGGGAGTAAGCTTCTGCTGGACTCAGTGGGGCTTAACACAGGATTTCCTTGGAGGGGTTTACTCCTGTGTAGGCAGTGTTTTGCCCTGAGGGACCTGCCTCTGACTAGACAGGACTTTGTTGTTGTTTAGTCCTGTCCGACTCTTCGTGACCCCATGGACAAGAGCAGGCCAGGCACTCCTGTCTTCCACTGCCTCTCGCAGTTTGGTCAGACTCATGCTGGTAGCTTCGAGAACAATGTCCAACCATCTTGTCCACTGTCGTCCCCTTCTCCTTGTGCCCTCCATCTTTCCCAACATCAGGGTCTTTTCCAGAGAGTCTTCTCTTCTCATGAGGTGGCCAAAATATTGGAGCCTCAGCTTCACGATCTGTCCTTCCAGTGAGCACTCAGGGCTGATTTCCTTAAGAGTGGAGAGGTTTGATCTTCTTGCAGTCCATGGGACTCTCAAGAGTCTCCTCCAGCACCATCATTCAAAAGCATCAATTATTCGGCGATCAGCCTTCTTTATGGTCCAGCTCTCACTTGCCTTTTTGCCCCACTGAATTCAACAGGGCTTCCTCCCAAGCAAGGTCACAGCGCCCGCTTCCCCGGAGTAAGGCTTGCTGAATTCTGTGGGGCTCCCTTCCTAAGCAGAGGGGCTGGTTCATGACGGGGCGAGGCCTTCCCCCTGCCCCACTGAGTCCAGTGGGGAGGGGGGCTCCCTGCCTCCCAAGGCAGGCTGCCATCCAGCCGGGGAAGAGAAGGCGAGAGGCCTTTTCCTTCCCCTTAGCCACCGCCACCGGCTCCACTGCCTTCTCCAGGGCGGGCAGCAGGGCGCGCTGTGCGGCCTCCTCTCCAGCCTCTCTCTCTCACACACACCGGGGCCCGGCCGAGGGAGGGGAAGCGAGACGAGGCGGCGGCGACCGAGGAGGAGGAGGACGAGGAGGCCGGGCTGAGCCGCTCGTCTTAGGCCCCGCTGCGGCGTCTTGAGGCGGAGCAGACTGGCTTCCTTCCCGCCCGGCTCGGGTGTTCCCTCGCGGCGGCAGCTTCGTCGTCGTCGTCGTCTTCCACCTCCGCCGCTTCCTCCAGCCGGGCTGGGCCTCTGAGCCCCGAGCTCCCGTCCCAAGCCCCCCTCTGCAGGCGGGCGGGATCGGAGCCCAGCCCCGGCGCGGCCGCGACATGTCCGGCAAGATCGAGAAAGCAGGTGGGTGGACGGCGGGAAGGCCGCTGAGAGAAAGGGGGCAGGGGGAGGCCGTCCGCCTTTCCTCAGTCGGCGGGGCGGTATTTTGGGGACGGGGGGGAAGGGAAATTGTGTGGGGTGGGGGCGCACTAGAGACCAGGGCTTTTCATTCACACACCGTTTTGGTTCGTGATTTCTTTCATCAGCTGGATTTATATGGGTCTGAGAGAGAGAGAATCACACACACACACACGCCCCCCCTCGCCCATGCTCAATGGAGGCAGCCCCCACCCGGAAGGGTCTGGCCGCCTTACAGAATATAGTAATCCTCCCGCGCCCACGACAGAGATCCATTGAAGTTCGACTTTCCTCTTGTCCCCTTCTCCTTTTGTTTTTCTTAAAAACGTTTTCCTCTTGCCCCATAGAATAGCAGCCCCATCTCTTTTCATTTTAAAAAAAAGTCTACTAAATGCCAGAGAGTAGTAGGCCCTTTCCTGCCCTATAGAAGAGCAGCTTTAAAAAAATATATGTAAAGGGTAAGGCTGCAAATCATCAATAGCAAATGTGAGAGATGCACACACACATACCCCCCAGTATAGGGAGCCCTATAGAAAAGGCGTCTTTCCTACCCCCTTTGGAGGAACACACCCCCTTTCCCCCTTTTTTATTATAAAAAAATGCTGTTTCTAATACTGTGGAGTAATAAGGGTTCCTGCCTCTTGGCACTGCTGTCAGTCCAATAGGACACATACGTTTGGGGACTAACTCAAACCATAGGTCCTGGGATGCTCCTAATTTCCTCACATATAATGCTCTTTATTTTATGCATAGAATCAGAGCCATCTTCCCCTGATATTTGCATACAGCCTTTTTTTCCTCCTGTGGAATAATTCCTATTGCACCCTGTACAGCTATTTGTTTCCTCTTTCAGTCCTGTAGAAGGGTGCTATAAAACAGGTTTACTCCTGCCCCATGGAATAGCGGCTCTACATTCATGTACCCCTGTTGTAAAAGACATTGAAGGCTTCTTGACCTATAGGGGGGACTTGCACCAAGCCCCACATACTACTGGGAGGGTTTCTCAAAACCAATCTTAAAAGAATGAACGGGATCCCCCCCCCCCCCGGACACTTTATTTCTCAGGCCTGTGTGTCAGGTATGCTCCCTCCCTCAGAACTATATAAGCTTCTCAACTTCTTTCAGCACAGAACCATTCAGAGCAGAGTTCCTCCTTCCCCATATGGCAGCAGCAGCAGCACCTTTCCCCGAAACTTCATTCAGAACAGACTCTTTCATATAATCATAGAATTGTAGAGCTGGAAGAGACCCTGATGATCATCTAGTCCAACCCTCTGCAGTGCAGGAATATGCTTCTCTCCCATATGGCAATTGGACCTGCAGCCTTGGCATTATCAGCACCACGATGTAACCACTTTCATAGTGCAATGCAGTAGATAATCTTGTTTCCTGACCTGAACAATCATCTCCAGCTTCATAAATCAGATTCTTCTTATTACTGTAGAATAGATGGTTTCCCCAATGCCACAGAGTATCTTGTTTTATTTCCAACTCTATAAAAAACCCAGCTCTCATGCTTCATAAAGCTCTGTAAAACAAACTTCATTCCACTTGCAGATTAGCACTTTTTCCCCGCCCTGACCTGGGCCTTTTAAATAAAATCTATAGTGTAAATTCATCCTAGTACAGTACTGGATAAAGAGTTTATTCTTCCAACTCCTTATTATTTATTTATTTATTTATTTATTGCATTTATATTGCAGCTTTTCTCCATGGAGCTCAAGGTGGTGTGCATGATTCTCCCCCTCATCATTTAATCCCTACAATAACCATAGAAGGTAGAACAGTCTGAGAGGCAGTGAGTGGCCCAAAGCCATCCTGTGAGCTTCATGCTGAGTAGGGATTTGAACCTGGGTCTCCCGGGTCTTAGTCCGACCCTTTAACTACTATAGCACATTGGCAACCCAGTGCCCTCCAAATATTTTGGACTCCCATCAGCCCCAGCTTCGTTGAGTCCTATAAAGCAGACTTTGTGGGGGAGCTTTCTCAAGTAGTGTTCAAGGGGGTGGTATTAATTTCCACTGACCTACTGTATTTCACTATTAGGATTTGGTGGTTTTTGGTGGTGTTGGGCTGGGACTGTGGAGGTCTGGGTTTATAGCCACACACAGCTATGAAAAGTTTTATCTGTAGATGCTACTTCCCAAGGCGCTGGGTCGGTCTGATGAGAGTTGTAGTTCAAAATATCTGGAGGATATCAGATTGAGGATGTGTGGTTTACACGAGTAACCTGTCAAAGACCTTTGGCTTTCTCCCTCATCCCTCCAAACGGTCCTTTGCAGGTAGCATGGAACAACAGAAGGAGACTTCTTGCATTCATGTATATGCTTATCCTCTATTGATTAGCCTCACGAAAGTGTTCTTTGGCATTTTCTTGATATTTGCAGAAGCCCCACAGACTTAGAATTTCCAGAGTTTCTGCTCCTGATTTGCGGTATGAAACTGGTGGTGACTGGGGGAACTGGTGGGTGTTTCCAGATGTGACTGATATTGGGGTGTAGGTGGGGAAATGCCTGTCCCAGCACCCATTGAAGGGGGGATGGGGTTTTCCTGCTGAATTGCATTGCCACTGAAGTTTGAACAGAGAGGTATGAGTTGAGGCCTCCTGTGAGGGGAAACTCCAAATGGCACTTGAAAGAAATTTTCTACTTGTTTATATATTTTTCTTGCTTTTTTGCATGCGTTGAGAGGGGTGCACTAGAATTAGTTTCTCAAGTCTTTCATATTATTTCTGAAAACTAATACCCACTGTTCTGAAAGTTGTATTTTTGCACATTTATTAGCTAAAAACAAGGCTGTTAATGAGTGGCATAGCTTTGTGTATAATGACTGATTTTTAAATTCTAAATGTCCTGTTTAGTAGAAAGAGTGGAATATATTCTCTTAATATTCCTTCCTTC